TTTTTAATGCAAAGATGCATCATAAGTGTCTTAGAAAAACATTAATTAGAAAAAGGCACTAAAAATCCTTTCCAAATTAAGTCAGTGCCTATTAATGAGCCAAATAAGTGGCCATGTGGTAAACAGTCATTTCCAATTAACTCCTAATGTGGCTGGTGTGGTAGATAGAGGCCAATGTGAGTCACTTTTTCCCTTTCATTGTCAAAGAATGGTAATTTTAAACTTTTCCTTTCATCTGACTTCAATGTATTTTTCCCTGCTAGATTTTATCTTGACTAGATCTGTTAATATCATAAGTGAATTGGGCTGGTGCATGTCTTCAGAGGTTCCTTTCCACCCCAGCTTACAAGCAGCCCTCAGCATGCTGATGTTTTATACTTGAAATGTGATACAGTTTTGTAAGGGAAAAAATGAACCTTCTCACTTTGAACCTGTTGTAGTTTTATCAGGCCAAAATTATTTGGGCAGTATTTCCTAACCTTTAGGGAGTGACAGGAAAATGCATTTTGCATCCAATTTTCTTAGTCATAGCAGGAATGAACACATGAGCCTTAAAGCAACAGTGCTGTTTAGTTTCTGTCCTGCAGACTTTAAAAAGCAGAACCCTCGAGAAGAAAACAACAGTTTGGAGTTTGTTGTGTTGCATGCTTTTTAATGTCAAAGCAAAACAGTAGTTTGAAAACAGTTTCATCCATTTGGAGTAAAGTCTGGATTGAAAAATCTCACCATGAATCATCAGTGACTGGAATTTTGACCCAAGCAGTCTTCTCCCAGGACACCCACCTTACAATCTGGTATGTTCAGCCTACACTCCACGATGCTTTCCAAAGAGAACTTGCTGCAAATGATTAAGTCTGGCTTGAGCATCCTTTGTGTCTGTTTTCCTTTTAGTACACTTTTCTTCTGTATTTAACAACCTCTGCCTTTTTAATTTAAACTCTTACCAGCTATAGTACTGAGGTGCTTGCATCAGCTTTTTGGTTAAAGTTATGGTCTGAGCATTTCATGCTTCCCATTGTTCAAGCAGGGATGGGAGAGATGACAGCTGAGTTGTGACACTGCTCAGTGCTGTGGGGATCTGGTTTCTGTCCTCCATCAGCCACACTGGAGGATGGTGGACATCAGCTGCTCAGGTCCTACTTGTTTCAGGTCCTACAAAGGCTTGTTTTAGCACCTCTTGTCCTTGACTACCTGACGAAAGAAGAAGCTGGTTTCCACAAATATTTTCTTACATAAGCATACAGGGATCCTAAAAGCTCAGCCTTATCAGAAATTCCCCTAAACTAATTTTAGCTGGCAGAAGACACACAAGACACACCTCTGAGAACTTAAATTATTGCCAGCACAGTTCTCGAAGTATATTGAAGTGCATTTCTTTTCTACTTATTTAAATCAGCTGCCTCAGCTACAAATATTATTAAATATTTGCATGATTTCAAACCCTGGGTTTTTTTAAATTACTTTCTTGTAAACAAACAGAAATGCAAATCGCAAAACATAGACTTACTCATTCTTTTCCAACATCTGTGCTTTAATAGCACTTGTCATTGTCAGCCAGGACATTACTTTTTGATCCAATACCTGCTATACCTGTGTAGTCCACAAGCAACTCTACAAGAAATGTTGATGGGAAATCTTGTACTTGGATATAGCACAGAATTCTGTAGGGAGGATTCAGCGGAGCTACTGACAATGCTGCATTTCCAACAGCCAACTTCCCACTGCTCTCCTGGGAGGAGATGATGACTGAATTAGCTGTTAGCCTCGCTAACAGTTTGTGGTCTGTGTGCTCAGAAAGTGGAATCATCAGGCTGACTGCTGTAGCAGCTCTCATGCATCACTGAGGGAGGTCTGAGTTAAATTTTGCTGCTTGGTGGATAAAAAAATGCTAGGGTGGCAGCCACTGCAGGAAATAAAAGCTGCATCACACTGCAGGAGCAAATTCCTGAGCTAGCCATGAGAGGAAGGGCTGCATGAAAACAGCCTTTGACCACTCTTCCACAAAATGAATATAAAGCTACTGTTGTATACTTCAAGGCATATGGAATTTGGGATAGGGTTTGATGCCAGTAAGAGAAAGGCTGCAAGTCCAGAACCCCAAAAGCAATTGTCCCCAAATCGCCCTTAGCCTTCTAGGGAGGTTTTCTTGTAGGATCTGGTGCTAAGGGAGCTATAGATGCCATCTAAAGTTTTTAGAGAAGGACATTATACTTGCAGCTGCTTGCAAGGATTGGGATTGGAGGAAGGCAACAGATGGCTGTGGGGCAAACAAGATGGAGGTATTAACCATAAACTGTTGTTAGATTGTGAAACAAAACAGTGCACAGGTCAAAAAATAGCAGTGTTTATATAAATATTTAAATAAATTTAGCCAGTGTTTTTTGGAGTATCTTAGATTACACTTCCATTGGTTTCTCTCAGCTGTTTTTTGGCTGGCACTTCTTTGAATTTTTGTTGCCTGTACTTTATGTGCACCCTCACTTGAGAATTTCCCACATGCTTTATCTTATAAATATATCCTTATAAAGGACTTTGCCTTTGGAGAGCAAACTGGAAATCAGTGATAAATAGGAGCTTCCACAGGAGAATTCCAGCACTATTCCCAGAAAGGGAAGGACTGCCACTGATTCACCTGGGTAAGGTGAAGACTCAGTGGTTGAACAGTCAGTTCCAGGTATTTCAAGGGTAGTGTTCCTTGATTAGTCAGGGAGGCAGGAAGAAGGAATGCTTCCCACAAACTGTTTTCATGTCTGGTTGGGGAGCACCCCCTGACTTAGTGGCTGGTAGTTGAGGAATAGGGATGTGTCTAGAAAAAGATGTTCAGCCAGTCCTTTAGGGGCTTCCTGAGGCCAAAGCTGTATCCCACTCACAGTGTGTAGTACCTATTGATGGATCCATCTTCCATGAATCACATTACCTTCTCTTTAGAAGATGTTTATTCCTCTGGCCTTCACAATGTCCTGTGCTGGTGAGTTCCACAACTTATAGATGTAACATATAAGAACTTCCTTTTTGTGTATGCTAAATAAAAGCATTTTCTTGCTTCTGCTTGGTCTTTAAAAGAAAGTAAATCTGTAATGCCAGAAACACTGGTAATGGGATGTTTATCCTGTTGAGGTTGCTCCATATGGAAAACACATTTTCCTCACTAGTAAAGTACCTTTCTTTGGTTACTTTACAAAGGAAAAGTTTACAGATGCAGATGATTGTAATATTCCCATATGCTATTGTGTGGAATGTGTTAAATGAGATAATATGTTTAAGTTTTATGTCACTGGATTTTACTGTCCTGTTTTACTTCAGTATTGTCATGCCTCCTGTTTTATTTGTTCTGTAATTCTGTACCTGACAGTTTAGCACAAAACAGTGATCTGAATCTCACCATCTCATTGTATGGACACATTTCGTAGAGAAATGAGACATCAGTTATGTGCCCTTCCTGCCCCCAACCCCTCCTGTTAGGGCTGAATGGCAAAACTATTCTATGCTATTGAAAGCCTTTAAAAAAAAAATCTATGCATGCTATTTTATATTCTAATGTATTATTCATATCAGTACATAAGCTTATGCTTGTCAGTTTTATCTTGTGTATAGAACTGATTACTTTTGACAGTATTTTTGCACTGTTTCTTTTCTTTCTCTTTTTATAATAAAAAAGTTCTATCAGCATTAATTGACTGCAATAATTTTTTTACCCCTTTCACTGCCTTTGTAAATAGTTTCTTATATGCTTTTGCAAATGTGAGAATGTCTTCAGTGACTAAGATTTTTTTGGTAAGGCTGTCCCTCATATTCACAGTATACAATAAACCATTTTTTTCAATGAAAACTGTTTGTGTTCTTTTCTGTATCAGCTTAAGGGTTTTGTATTTGCACCTACACTGCTTGAGTTGGTTTCCTATGTTAAACTGATAGACACAGCCAGGGCCACAGTAAGCTCTGAATAACCTTCTCTAAATGGTAATCCAAGTGTCACAGGGGCAAGGCTTCCACTACTGCCTTGTGTTCACCTAATCCAATTCTTTGGTGATGAAGTGTGGTCTGGGCTCTGGACAGGCTTGCTGAAGTAAAGGTATTATTTCCCAGAACAAGAGTTTATTTGACAAGACAAAGTTAGGACAAAACCAGTCAGCTAGTGCCCTCTTCCTAGGCTTGGCTATAGGTAAAGGGCCTTGGCTTTCTGGAATTGTAGATCTGGTGCAGTTTTATGTACTCCAGCAACAACTGCTGGCTGGAGAGCAATGAAAGATTTCAGCAAAATGAGCTGACAAACCCTAATTCCAGCAGTTTTATTTTCAGAGCAGTGCTTGCAAGAAAGAAAATACAATGAAATTCTTAAGGGTGATGTGTTCTTTCTCATCATACTTTATAAGCTGTGAAAACAGTAAGGAAAGGGCAGGTAATTTTATTGTGCACGGTATTTCAATTTTGATGCTAGAAGTTTACAGCTACACTATTTTTCTACCCCCATCCTTAAAAGTAAATTCTTACCATTGATCTAAAATGAGGGGAAAAAAATCCTCTTGTTTTACATATGGGTAGAGAAAGCTAAGTCCTGAACTTTCTCCTCAGAAAATATTCCTGTACCTCTCAGAAATAATTGCTATTACAATAATTATAATAAATATGATTACAACAGTTGTAATCCACTGGAGGTGAAGGTATGGCAGTAAGGAAATATGAGCTCTCCTCTGCGATAACTCACTTTAACTTGTAAAGGAGTCTAAAAAGCCAGAAATTGCATAGTTCATGTCTTGTGTAAGCCTTCAAGCTCCAACATAGGTGTCAGTATTTTCTGTACAAGACAAATTGAGCTCTAGGTCTTTGCTGTGATGAATCCTCATCTGCCAGGAGCAGTGATGGACCTGCAGATTAATTGGTTGAGGGAACACTGGTGGCGTTGCTGTAAAATCTACAGAAGTCATCACCCCATTCCCCCTCTCTCTAAGTAAAGCCACTGCAAATAAAAATGATGCAAGAAAAAAAGGAAACAAACCACAACAGAAAAAGGGCTTTTGCTAATTTGTCAGAGTAAGCAAAACTATTTGGGCAAAAGTACATATCACAAACCTATTGCACCCATTTAAGTGTACAAGTGGAATCAAGAGTGACCAAGACCATTTTATTTACTTCATACAAATAAGATCCACACCAACATCCCTAAAGAAAAAAATGGCCATTTTTGCACATGAGCCATCAAAAGGCATAACCTTTAAGAAACCATGGATGCTTCCTTAAAAAAAAAAAAAAAGGCAATTGTAGATGTGTGGAAGCTAGGCCTAAGTGTGTTTGTCATTCCAATTATAGGACAGAACTGTGTTCATACTCTACCGCTTTTCAAAGCGCTCCTGAAGGTTTCCATAACAAGGCTTTTTAAATAAAGGTTTGAAGGATTGCATAGATTCAAAGGCTCAGTGGTCCTCTAATTCCTTTTTGATCTCTGAAATGTATGGATGATCTTTCCCATGTGCTACTTCCATGATAGCAATTGCCTATGAAAAGGAAAAAAAAATATTCACACAATTGATTCATATATAACACCAGGCTATAAATACTCTCTTTAGAGGTTTGAAGCAGTCTGACACCTCTAGCTACTTTTTGTCCCCTTGTAGTCATAAACCCAGTAGGAAATAAAATGAAATTCAAAACTAAGTAATAAAGGTTTTATATTCAGAGAATACATCTTTGATCTTAAAGGAGCCCAAAGCACCTTTCAAAATTATATTCCTGACAAAACTACTTTGAATGCAACCAGCTCCAGGACAGAAAACTGCAAGTGCGGTGGGTAATATTCCAGCAGAGGACTTAGCCAGTATCTGAGCAAGCTCTGCTCCTACCAATTTATCCTTAAGCTGTCAGAGACATGCAGGTTTAGCACAGGAGTAATGCTGAGGGGCATTTCAAACTCGAGTCTGTAAACCCTTTGCTCCTTCCAGGGGCTGCCAATGCTTTAGGAAGGAAGCAACAACTTAGGCAAAAGTGAGATCCCATAAGATTCAGACAGAGGCTGCTGTGTCCAGCTCCCTGGTGTTTCACCTGTTTGCAGCCTGTTCCAGGCCTGAGAGGGAATGCTGCAGGAGGCCAAACCCTGACTAGTGCCTTTCCTGCCCTGGAGTGTGTGCAGGGCAAGATTTCCACTCGAGAAAAGATGTGATAAAAGGCAGCACTCGACAGAGCTGAAAAAAAAGTTCAGTGTAAGTCTGAGAATGTTTAAAGCCCAACAGTGCTAAGACAGCAAGGACTTGCAGTATCCTGGCCCCTGAGCGTTTAGTCATTTCATCCTTGGGAAGCTTTATGCTCTTGTATTTGTTAACAACAAGGGCTTTTGGTTCCACCTCAGCAGCAAGAAATTACTCCACCCCTCCTACTGCCCAAAAAAAGAAAGGAGGACCTTCTGGATGAGCTGCTCACAAACTGACAGGGAACAATGGGTTTGCTTTTCCACTAAATCCCAAACATCAAAGGCTGGGATAACTTTGAGCAGTTCCTGCAGACAGCTTTTGGAAGTGAGTCATTAGACAATGTTTGTGTTAGGAAACTAACTATGCCAACAAATTTACCTCACAGTTCCCTACTCCCCCATCCCATGCTCCTACTGGCACAATTCCCATTTCTACTCAAGGGTTTAACACCACAGAGAAGGAAAACCTATGCCAATTTCAAACTAGGAAACAGTTAAATTTTAGAGCATATATTCTTCTAGCATCTTTCACTATGGTTGGATGGCGTTGTTATTTGCTGGCGAAAAACTTGCCAGCATCTTAAAAGCAAAAAGAAATAAATACATTGTGACATTCCACACTGAGTCATTATATGCTACAGTAGCCACTGATGCTTAAGAAACTAAAATAAACTTCTGCCCAACAACAATGGGGGAAAATAGTCAAGAAACATAGTATAGATTAACAAAAAATAATAAAAAACTAAAGAATAAGGAACAAACAAATGAAAAGGGGTGAAGAAAAACATAAAACCAAAATGCTGTATTTGCCAATTTCGGCATTACCAGATGCATTGAATTCCCTTCAGCTATGTAAAAATCGATTGGTTCCAGAAAAAATAACCACCAAAACCATGCCTAGTTTAAGTTGGATATAGAAATCACAGACTTCAATGAAACACTATGTGCCTTTTATAAGAGCCAAGCATTTTTCCTGTCCTTACCCAAAAAAATGAGGGGAAGATAGGGTTCTGCTTCATTTACACTAGCACAGCTCTAGCTCAGAGAAGAACTCAGAGCAAATATTTAAGCATAATTCTCACTCCAGCTTCTGCAGTACGAGCCCACTGTGAAAAGGCACCCAAGAGTAGACCCATCTTCCATCCCTAGAAAAACCAAATCTGAGCTAAAAATCCAGTGACTGAATGTATTTAACATGGTGCATTTCCTATCACGCCAGGCTCTGACAACGACCCCATGGCTGAACTGGTGTTATTAATGGAGAAACCAAGCAATAAATACCCTCTTCAGGGCTTTAACTCCAGCCGTCCTGTTCTTCAGTGCCATGTAGAGTCTCCCTAATTTCAGCCACATGGAGGCAACATTCAGCGAGTAGGAAGGATAATGTTTACTGCAAGAGAGAAAGAAATTCAGCTTCATCAACTTTGGCAGTTTCATAGCATTTTCCCAGTCCTGTCTCCCTCTCATGGGGCAAGAAGCTGCCTCTCGTTGCCCCTGCCCATTCAGCGCTCATCCCCTCTGCCGTGACTGCCAAGAGCCAGTGCCAATTGTGTCTGGGATGGGGACGCCTGTCAGCTGGGAATTGGACTGAAACTACCATATGCCTCTGAACAGCTGTCAGATGGCAAGGACGTTCTGCCACTAGTTTAATCTAGCCAGCTACAGAGAGAGCCCGCATTGTTATGAGTTTTGGAGCCACCCTGCACCCGCAGCAGTAGCTCTGTGTGTTCCACAATGGTTGGTGGGCTGGAAAGCGAGGGGCCCTCCGCAGTGTGCAGGGCACACACGGCAGTCTGTGCTCACACACACTGAGCGGGCACAGCCCGCCTCAGCAGAGCTGACCTGGAATGCCAGGCTCAGAGCCAGAGGAGCTGGGCAAGTCCCAGGGAAGATAAATAGTACTGAGCCTCCAGGGGGAGAATGTTGGCTCCTTCTTTGTATCACTGCTCCCTGCCAAGTGCTCTGTGACTTTATGTTGGCATCTGCTCCAAAGGGAGAGCTTTTCTTGCACTCCCCCCAGCTGGCAAGAAAGTCACGTCTCAAGACGAGAATCTGTTTGGGAGATTCACGGCAGGACCAGACGCAGCCAGTGTAACTGGCTGGCTCTAACCAACAGGCTCACTACTGCAAAACCCGAGAATTTTATCAGAAACAGTATTCTTATCTCCTGCAGAGGCTGTGTGCTGCCTTGCCCCACGCAAGGCTTCAGCCTGGGCATTCTCCCATGCCTCCAGCTCTAGGGCAGCAGGATCAGGGACATGGGGCACCCCCAGCTCCTAGCACAGGAGCTGAGCTTGGCTCCAGCTCCCTCTGCTGCTCGGCTCCAGCCCTGGGACACAGCTCTGTTCACCTGCAGCCGTGCCCACAGTGCTGCTGCAGAGAGAGAGGGCTGGAAGATTGTGGAGGCTGACAGCAACACTGGCTTTGCCTCCACTACCTTGTACAAAATACTGGCTGCAGATGCAATTTGAAACCCTTCTTTAGTAAAAAATATTATGGTATTTTAGAAACCAGTTAAGCACAATAAGCACAGCACCCAAGGTGGCACAAAATTATATTGAGAACACAAAGCAAGGATTTCAAAGTCAGTCCTGCTATATATTGCAAGACCACATTCTGATAGTAACAAACACTGTCTCATCATTTAAATATTCCTTTTTGAGTAGTGGTATCATGGGTAGAATGTTTATATAACATACACTGAGAGAAGTGACCTCTGCCCAAACTTATCTTAATCGTTCATATTATTAATTAGAGCATTAAGAAAAGAAATAGTCTCTCATATTTACCTGTAGGGTCTGATAATTTTTTGCCCATAACACAGCGCACCTTCCCAATCCTGCACGTAGAGACAGACACCCATGGCCTGGTACATCATATGTAACATATAAACATTACTGTCTTCAAACACTGCACCCATCTTGTCCAGGCTGAGTTCACAGATCTCCAGTAATTCACTAGGGGGTAGGAAGAAGTCAAGGAATGCAATGAATCGATGGCCTGTCACTATATGACTACCTAATGCTACCTTCTGACACAAAGAGGACAGAGAAGTTTAATTTCTACTGGTCACAGTATTTCTCCTGCACGTACTTCTGAAGTTCAGCAGGCAAGATTTTTAGGTCACACATCAGTGGAGTCAGGGTAAGACAAAGGATATATTTGTAGTGTTTGGCTCGCCTGAATTCCTCAATCACGTTCCTGGCATATTTGATCATGTCTTTTACTGTCTCTGCTGACGGAGGATCATTCAGCTTGCAGATTTCCAGTTTCTCTTTATCCTGAAGAAAACACAATGGACCTTACAAAGGCGGGTTCCAAGCTCTACAAATAAAAGTGCACCTGCTATACAAAATTTCTCTAATAAAAAGACACAGATGTGAACTTAAGCTCTTCAAAGAATGAAAAAACAAAGGTAGAGTGTGCACCTGCAATTTTTCTCTAAAGCCTTGGCTAGAAATCCTAGGATCCCCTGGCCCTCCAGTTCATCTGCCATTCTCTACTTCCATGAAGTCACTTTCTTTTGAGAGATTGAAGAGCTTTTTGATTTTGTATTGCAAGCAGTTTTACATAAGAAATTTCAATGGTTCCAAGAGATTAGGGTTTAAAACAAATTTAGCCTTAGTTTTAAGGCTATAACAGCTCAAGTACCTTAGTCTGGACTACCAATTGATGTCTCTGTGGAAAATGACATGATCTTAAAGACAGAAAAGAATCCTTCAAATCTACAGACAAAACCACATTTCCATATATTTTGTTATTTCTACTGGACAGCTCCACTTATCTTATCCCTGTATCTAACATACCATTTCATGAAGAGTCAGCTGCAATCTAGAGACAATCTTTTGCTGTTTAAGCTTCACATTGTTGCTAGATTTCTTTTTCTTTTATTATTTAATCTGCCAGCTGAGAGAGCTACAGGGACTCTTTCCAGAACTGAAGGAGGCTGATTGACAGGTGACTCCCAGAGTAGCACATTGCTGAAAATCACAGATGAAATCCTGGCTTCATTAAACTCAGTAGCAAAATTATCAAGGTAACTGTGGGGGAAAATGTAACTGATATGGTATCAACAGAACAGCTTCAAGCAACAATACTGGGTACTATTTGGAAAAAAAAAAAAAAAATCACAAAAGATGACACCATTTAGAGGAAAGAGACGGTTGTCTGGTCAATGTGGGAAGCAGCTTTTAAAAGGATACCTAGTGAAAATGGGAGGACAAATGATCTGGAACTTAAGAATTAGATTAAGACACACTGATCTTGTCTGGAATGACAGATAAGCTAACACAGAGCTCAATTCTTGTAGGACCTTCAGTGAAGGAGGTCCAAATAGTTTCACAGGCACAGCTGTCTCAGTATCTGTTGGGTTTGGGTACCTTTTCCCTCCAAGAAGTGCTTTTCTTTACAACACCTAACACCCTGTTTTCAGGAATATTGCCTGGATCTTCCTTTGTCTTTTGAAGGGCCCCAGCTCATGTTTAATGAACACAGTTCTGGCTTGCACATCACAAAGGGCTGTGACCCAGGACCACACTGTCCCTGAGCAGACCAATATGATGATATTGTACAAAAGAGCATTCCTCAGATTCTGCTGGGTCTCCAAACCATCCAGACATTCCATACAATGTCCCCTAGAATTGACTGAAATGTCCCAAACATAAAGTGCAGCAGCACTTTATCCCAGAAATGCCCCAAGCAAGATTTACTAGCTGGGAGTTGATAGCATGAAATCAAAAAAAAAAGTTCTGAGCTAAATTTGTGTAGCGTAGACACAGTATAATTATCTACTTTCAACAATGTTCTCATCTTTGCTTTGTAGCTCAACTTTAAATAGGCTTCTACCAGGAAATTTCCTGATGTGTGATGATTACAATGGAAAGAATGACTATCAGAAAGCATTCTGGACAGAAAGACAGAAAAACAACCACCTCCCCCTTTTATCCTCCTTTCCAAAATGTAATTAAGCCAGATAGGATTTTGCATCTAAGGACATGGGTAGGTGCCTTGACAGACAGAGGTATATTCCACACCAATTCCATTACCTTTTCTTTTGTAGTGCACTCCCTGCAATCACAACTAAAGAAATAGGAGTCTCTTAACCGGTCATTTCTGTCTTCTGTGGGATACAGCAGGTCAATATAGCTGCTGAAAATCTACATGGTAAAAAAAACCCAAAACAACAGTTAGTGAGAAGCAGCATTACTAAACATATTTACTATACTAGTTCTGATATATGTAGTATGACAACTATATTCATGCAGCTTGTGGACCCCTGCAGCCACATCACCTGCCGGCTCCCTCACATTCCGAGCCCTTTGGCAGCATCAGGAGTTGTCATTTGTGAATGTAACCTGACAGAGAAGTGTTCCTTTCCTATCTGTTATGGAATTTCCCCCAAATATTACCCTGGCTTGCACCCAGGACAGCAAGATTCAGGTGTGGATAAGGAAACTATCACAGCATAAATCTCAGGCTCCTGTCAGACTACAAAGAGATGCCTACTTTTCAGAAGTAAAATAATGATTTCAGGTATCCAGCTTAGGATAAATTACAGTGGCCTGGTTTTTTTAGGGGCTGGAATCTCAAATTTTTCTTTCTGAAAACCTACAAAAATTGGGGCAACAGCAGTCACTAGTAGCTTTAGAAACTTAGGACAAGACCTTTAGATCTCTGAAAAGAAGAGAGGCCCAGTGCTCCAGTTCAAGGAGAATGAATATCAGATTTACTTCAGCAGCAATATTTTAAAGCAAAGAAAACCTGCTTTTGAACATTTTAAAGGCCCTTCATATACACTATTCTTAAGTTTTCCTCTATTTCAATGGTCTTCAGAAAAGAACCCCTGCAACTAGCTTTAATATTCTGCTTTTAAAACGAGATCTCCCCCCAAGAAACAAGTCCTATGCACAGCGCAGTTGATCATTCTGCAGACCAAGGAACAGCTTTAGCTCCATTTCCTCATTTATAGTTATTTGAAATGCTTTGCTCAGTCTTTATACTTCAAGCCTCTCTTTTCTTTAGAAGTAAAATTACATGTAATTTCATACAGTGCACCTTCTTAAGTATGAGCACGTTATCTCACACTTTCCCTCACACTCCTCTCCTCCCTTCGATATTTTCAAAGCGGAATGCAGGAACCACATTTAGAGCAAAAGAAACTTTAAAATGTTGCCCTGCAATGGCTACACGGAGCCTGAAGATGGAGACACAGGCTGGGAGACTGCACAGCGACCACACACAGCCACAGCTCACGTTTAGAAAATTCTGAAGTATCAGAAAAGCGAATGTGCAAAACCTGTGAGGTCCTGGAGACCTGATGCAGCTTCGAAGGCAGAATTTAACCTGAAGAAGATGCCTGAAGAAGGTAAATAACTCCACATCTCTACCTCTAATGATACACCTTCCCCCAAAATGCTGAAAATGTCTGGGATTCCACAACAAAATTCTGCAGCCAGAATTAGTCCTTGTCTGTTACCACAATGCATTTGCAGTGACTGCCAACATCACAGACAAATCATTGCTGGCAAATGGCATCAAAAGAAGTTGCTCGCCTGAGTCATTCACCCTTGGCTACAGCAACTAAACTCACTTTGCTCACAAGGGGGAACAGCTATAATCCACAAAAATAACCTCTCTACCTTTCTTCCAGGCTGCTATCACACACCTGAGAAAACAATAGATGTTATCAAAAATCAAATCTGAGCTTATCAGCTTTTCTTTGCCCATTAAATTAACATTTACAACAGAGCCATTGAAATTCTGTTCGAGCTCCATCCCCAGAGAGGATGTTCAGTATCTTCATTCCCTCCAGGTATTTGAACATCCTCCCCAACTCAGTTTAACATCTTTTTGTTGTTTTCTTTTTAAAGTAAAGTGCAGCTCTACTGTTTAAAACTCTCTGCCAAATTCATTATTTGATTGAGAAAGTTTCAAGGTAAACCCAGAAACTTATTCAATTTCACAGATTTTTATTCTTCTCTGTTCAGTTTCACCCCACCTAAAACCACACATTTGTTCTTCTGTGATTTCCCAGCAAATGCTATTCAGGTGGTATGACCAAGTCCCATGTTCTGTGGATGCTCTGTCCAAACAGAAGTCAGAGGACTTATCTGTACCCATTTACCTCATTTATTCTGGCTTCAATTTCAACACATTACTATTATACTGGGAACTATTATAGCAGTAATAATTTGCTTTGATCTTGGAATTTCAAAGCACCAGCCAAACATCAGTAAACTCAGCCTCATTTTACAGATGGGTAAACTGAGAGAGAGGCTGGCAAATACACAGTGACTGCTGCAGGTGCCTTTCCCAATTTTTAGCAAAAAAATAGGGTACTGTCTCCAAAAAATCCCATCAATCCTCCAGAGTCACCCTAATTTTTCCAAAGCACCATCTTGCATTTCTCTGAGAAACAAGAGATCCTTCCTTCCTGTTACTAAATTGCCATCTAGTTGAAAGGATCCCCGAGAAGCAGAATGAATCCTGTCAGGTTGCACGAGAACAGAACACATTCAAACACTGCATTTACCTCATCTCCAGGCTCAATCTCTCTAACAGCTCTGACTTCAGCCAAGGTTCCCTTGTAAGTCACAATCACATTTGGGCAACAGCTATGGTTCATCAATGCAACACTGTAAAAGTAGAAAAGAACATGTTTTCCCTAACAACCACCACAAGCAACAAGCAAAAAGTTAAGCACCACTTCACAAAATAACTAAGTCTGAAAGATTGAATCTGCCTGTTTCTCTAACCTGTTTTTATTCTGAGGCTTAACATGAAGGTAACCTTGGGAAAATCTGTTGCACTGTTATTTATTCTAATGATATGGAGAATGGCTGTGCTAATGAATCATTACAATTTTTAAATCCTATTACTGCAGAACTAGGCAAGTTATTATTTTCCCCTTCTTACAGTGCTAAAGGACAGCTGACAGGTATGTTCATGTATCTTTACTATCAACATGATAGACAGGCTATTTTCCTCAGAGAAGAAAGAAAAACATGTTTAACCTAAAAGGAAACAAGTAAATACAGAAAAACGAAAGTCTTTGCTGCATTCCAAGTTAAGATGGGTGTTAAAATTTTAGCTGGCTTCTATTCAAATGTAAACAGCCTCCATGTTTGAAGTGGGAGGGAGATCTCTGTCTTTTATACAAGCACATGACCTGGACAAAAACCTGGATGGATAGAGAAAAGTAAACCCCCTTATTAGCAAGCACGGAGAATGTGCAGTTCATTGCTCATCTGAGATAAAATTTGTAATTTCAATTCTTTCTCTTCCAATCTAGCAAAATAACAACTGTCTCTTCAGTATTTTTAGCTCACATGCATAACTCTTAAATAGGAAAGATCTGACTTGTGTATCCTGAGCATTTATAAAGCATGGTGTTGGACATTTTTCCAGAACATCCTGGTTTAATACTCTCCTCTTCCCACAATGACTCTGATCCTGGGTATTTTAAGGCACTAATTTCCAGTCTCTGGATCAGGGATATGAACTACAGACAGACCTGCCTGAAGAAGAAGAATAATCTGTGAAGCAATGACTAGCTACTGCTGCTTGTCTGCAGCACTTGGCAAAATTACATCCAGCTTTAAGTGGGCATCTGTAAGTTTCAGGTTACTTTGACACACATAAACTATGAGTAATCCAAGCCTCACCAGGAAGTCAAACTAAGCCTCAGTGCTAATACCTTCATACAGACTGTGCAGAGATCAGGGACAAAAAATACCCTCCTCTGCTACAATATTAAGTGGGAAGGACAGATTTAAAAATGCAAGAAATGATTCTTGGCCCTACAGAAAGCTGTATTCCCCCGTTCACCAACTGCAGATAATACTTAATATCTGTAGTTTATTTGTAAAGCTAAGAAGCTTGTACATATTTTTTTTTTTTACACTGTCATAGCAAGGAGGCTCAAAGAAGCCATGAGAGGGATTTACTATTTGCCAAGGAACAAAGGTAGAGAAGGGATAATGTTCAGAGAGCACCAGGGGAAGGATTATAACCAGCCAAAACAGAAAGTGGTGAATAAATCAAGTCACCTGCAATCCTTTTCATTGGGCTTTGATCATTACTTGATGTCCCTGTCCAGAACCTGCTACCCAAGTGTTTTTTTACCAACTCGAAAATAGTTCACAACCTAAGTTTCAAAACAAATTACATGTGCAATTTTACCAAAATTACTGGATTTTTAAGGAAAACTGCTGCAAATAATTTGCCACATTAGCCAATTAAAGATATTCAAAACAAGATAAATTAATTCCTTTGGTAGATATCTATTTCCTCTATTTGTTTTTAAATAAGTTAATTTTATCTTTTAAAATATTTTATATTTTAAAATCGACCTACTCAGGAAATATGGCTGATCCCAAATGGGAGAGTTCTTCATCTTCAATTGTGAAGCCATTACAGTTAACCTAAGAAAAAAGAGAAAGGTGCTGGATCAGCTTCTGGTCAGCTGAGTAGTCCACATGTACTTACATGTCACATTCTCATGCATCAAACACAACTGCAGAAATTTGCTTACAATTTTCCACCCCCCTCTCCTGGACTCACAGGGAGCTCCATGACATCTCGACAAGTGAAATGATGACAAAGTCCCTCTCCAAAGGAATGCACAGGACACTAAAAAAATGACAGTCCAACACTTGCACCTCCTCAGGACACATCTAGTGAATTGCTCCTTGGAGGGCCAACCAGGAGAAGTGGGGCTCAAAAAGAACACAACACATCTCACCCCAACATGGGGCAAAAAGACTTCATTGGGCCATGACAAGGGAAGGGCCAAAGCAGAACTACACATGCAAGGAGAAATGTGGGAATGAAGGGCAGCAAACTCAGCCAGGCTGGGGCAGTGCAGAGCTTTGATGGAGCACATGTCAAGAGATTTGCCACAATGGCACCTGTCATCAAAGACTGCACATATCAGCTACAGCTAAAGCACATGTGAAAACAACAAAAGCATTGAGAAAGACTTGAACCTCATAAAGACATAGACTAGGAGGGGACAGAAAAAGGACAGAGTATGAGAGGAAGTGTATTCCTAATTTAAACAGACATAGGATCAAAAGAACTTGTTCACAAAACTCTCTTATAGAATAGATTCAAGCAGGTTTTAAAACCTTCTCACTTTTGTTCTCATCCAAGTCAAAGGAATCTTATAGAAGTTTCAGCTTTTTTCATGTGGTTTGTATGACTTTAAGTGGCCAAAATGTGCCTCAGTCAAGTACTTTATTCCACTTCCACTTCAAATCACATACATACCAACACAAAGAGAACCTTCTCCACATTCACCATTATCTCCCTACAAACATGAAAAAAGCACCAGTAATGTACTAAAACAACCACTCAATAAAACAATGTGGCCAAGTCCAGTTAAAGCTAGAAAGGGCACAGGAACAGACAATCAAGTATAGTGCAGTTTTGGATTTTAAAATTTAGCAGTATTATATTGTTTTGGAAAGGGTAAGAGCTGACAACAAATACTACCAACAATAATCACAGAACTATTGAATGGTTTGGGTTGGAAGGGACTGTAAAGATTGAGTTCCAATCTTTGGATTGTTTTTTCTCCAATCCCCAGAGGCACAGACTCCTTCCAGTAGACCAGGTTGCTCACCAAGCAAAGTGATATACCCCACAAGCTGGAATGCAGCCCAGACTGGCTTTCAGAAATACACAAATACGCAAAGCCACTCCTCAGGCATGAACTGTTCAGCGTGAGCTGACAATTAAGGCAAGTATCTCGATTCACTCATCAGTATCTCTGCTATCTTTGCTTCATCTTTATCTTGTTATTTTTAGCAATATAGCACCCAAAGGTTCCCAGTCTCTCAAGATGGGCATGCTACTGCACTGGCCAGTGTAAGAGCATACCTGAACCAACACCAAAATGTAATTGCTGAATGCAAAAACAATAAAAGGGAAAGCAAATTTCAACAGCAAGTAAGACCATAAGACTACAAAGGCTGACAAAGAGCAGCTTGATGGTTCTGAATCACAGGGAAATATTTAAAAATATGTATTGAGTTATCACCAACTCCCCTCCACTAAGCCAGAGACAACACACTTCATGAAAGTATCATATTAGAAATGACACAAGAGGAGGGATTAGATAGGATGAGATATCACTGGTTTCACAAGAATGCAGGACTAAAAACAGGCAAAGTGGAGGGAGTGAAGAGACAACAGCAATAAAACTGGAGTTCAAGGTTGTTCCCAATGGTGGAGAAGAGAATGTGCAAAGGGAGGCACTAAATGCAAGGTCTTCAAGGAAAGGGTGAGATGCTGGAACTTGAGGCAAGAGAGAAACTGTTTGAAGAGTATGACAAGGTGAGACTGAGGAAGAAAAGCTCCAGCCTCAAGAGCTATATTCGATGGAGACAAAAGAGAGTAGAATGATGCCAACAGCTGGAGAAGAGAGCAGTGAAAGGCAAGGACTTTGGATGAAAGAACTCTATTCCACTCAAAAGGACCACTTAGACTTCAGCTGTGTAAGGAAGAGCATCAGGCAAAGTTCACTAAAAGGAGTGAGGAGTCAGAAGTATTCACATTCCAAATGACTGCCCTGAACCACAGGGAGAACCAATGGGGGATGGAGGAACAAAATAGAGCACACAAGGCTAGAGTAAGTGTTGAGGGAAAACAAAGGAGCAGCAGCATATCCATACTACTGGTTTTAGGTAATTTTAACTAATTATTAGGAAACATGTTTGTACAGCTCAAGTACAAGCATATCTCCCTTTCTTCTGGAAAGATTTATCCTGGGACCAACACCTCAGAAGGCTGCATCCTGTAAAACACTTCTGAGAAGCATCCACATGACTTCTGGAGATTTTAGTTCAAAAAATGTCCACAGTGGCATAGAGTTACCTGCTGATCAGGATGAGCTTTAAGGTAACATCTATGGGTGACATCTATAGAGAAGACTGGATGGAATACAGTGTCAGGGAGTCAGCAGCTCACAGAAGTTAGTTAAAGTACCACAATCTGGTGGAGCTGCTCTTGGACAGGACATGGAACAAAAGTCATCATAGCCAAAATAATGAATTCCTTGGGGAATTCTGGTTACATTCTAAGAAAAATATTCAGAAATACCACAAGAAACTGGTTGTACTAACATCTTGAAAGTATCCCTCTGACAAATATAAATTTTAAAGTTTTCAAAAGAGGAAAAAACCCTTGTCATTGAAAGGAAATGTATAATTAGAAACAACACAAGGGATGATAAGCATATGCTAAACATCCTAAAGAATCATTCCTTTAAAGATAAAGAGTACCTCGCTATTAAGGAAATAGTAACTGTGTTCCTTGTTGGTAGATGCCCAGCTTTACCAAACAGGATATTTCCATCTCAGATTTCACCACAGAAGTCAACATTTGCCCCCACCTTAAGATATTATTTTACTCAGAAACTTAAGTACAAAACTAGCTTATATTGAAGCAAAAGAGGAAAAAGAAGAAAATGAATCTTTCAGTATTTCACGGGTGTATTATTCCATCCACTACAATACATTCAATTCAGATGCATATGAAAAGTAGATGAGAAAAAAGTAGTGACATATCAGAAGTTATCTAACAAGACATCCTGTCTTTCCTTCATCTCTCCAGATGGCCAAACCACCTGACTACATTTAAAAGCCACACACCAGATAAAAGTTTTACGCTGTGCTTTCTGCTGCTCTTTTTACGTCTCTGAAGTTTACTCCCTGTGAAGGTCAAACACAATGATGACCTGACCAGCAAGAATTTCCACAAGTTTGAAGCCTGAATGAAGGATTTGTCTCTGCAGGGTCTCAGGCCAGCAGTCTTCCATGTTATTTCAACAACAGCCACACTGTTTGGCCCACAAGAAGCTTAACTTTGACAGAGTTTATTAAAAGTGATGTTTCCCCTTTTCTTCAGTGGGAAAGTTTGCAGACAAGAGTCTCTCCCCTCAGGATGGAAGTGGGGCACATCCAGCCACTATGGCTCAGTGAAGCACATCTCCATCAAGTATAGTCATCTGTCCCTAAGATAAGCAAAGAGCTACCCTTTCCATTGCCATTAACATGCTCCCCCTTTCAGAAAGGCCAAACTCCTACAGCACCATCCACCTAAGCAGGCTGTGTTCTATCCAACTTACTTGTGCAAAGAGAACTACAAGAGCAGCATTGTCAGGGTAGTCCAAGTGCTTTGAGTAAAAGTGATGAAGAGCAGCAATGTCGTTCTGAATCAGCTCTCTCTTTTCATTGTCTAGTTTGTCAAGGTCTGTGGACAAAAAATACATTCCATTTCAGTAACAGGAAAACCCCTCCAGGTAGACTTATGTTAGAAGAGGCCCAGACTTTAACAGAAACCCCTGAGGGACAAGCCACTTGGAAGTACTGCAAGAAGTGCCGGCTCTTCCACAAACATAGCATTGCCTCTGCTAAAGCCACACATGTGCTACAAGGACACAGAACCACAGAATCACTAGGTTGGAAGAGACCTTCAAGACCATTGACTCCAACCCATGCCCAACATAAGAGATTAAAAAGCATTTTCTAACATCTTTAGGTTAGCAGGTAACTGGACACAGACTTTACTTTCTTGGGAGAAGGGCTGTAGTCTTTAAAGTGCATTTGTTAACTCTAGCAAACAGCCCAGCCAGCCCTGGCTCTCTGGAAGTCTATCAACAGGGGATAGCTGTCCTCAGCTGTCTGACACGCCCTTACGAGCTATATGGTCCCATCTAGTGGGGCGTGAACTCACACTAAGCATCACTCACCTGAAAGCATGCTCTATATAATGAAAATTTCTCATACAGACCTATTCCTTATTCTAACAAACCAGCCCAAACTGCTGCTAAGGCTGCTTATCCCTGCTGCTTTTAAAAGATGTGGTCTTTCCTAGCACAGAAGCCCTAACTATTTGTGGTCACACATCTAGCAACAATACTGGGGCTGGTTACGGGGGTTCCTTTTGCAGCAAGAGGAGGATTACATGAGGGTGCCCAGGAATGCAATCCACCTGACTTATTGCAGGTACCTGCTTCAGGAGGTAGCCAACAGTGCCTGAAAGTGCCCATATCTCTCTGGGCTAGAGGTGTGTTTAGATTACAGATATCTACTAATAGGAGACAGCAGGAATATCAGTGGAAATGTCCTGGCACACCTGCTAACTGTATTCCATTATGTGTTTCTTTGGAGATTTACTCTCAGGCCCATGACAAGTTCTAGCCAATGCCATGGCCACTAAACCTTTCCCTACCTGGTCCATGCAGAGTAAGCTAGATGATCAACCATATACTTCTGCTCCCCTCTCTCTTCCCTCAAGAGCAGAGTGGCTGGGAGTTTTTTCCTAACCCACTCTCACACAATGGCAGTGTTACTAGCTCTCCCCTGCTCTCCCCAACTCAAAATAATAATGGAAAGAAAAGGCTGCACAACAGCGGAAGAAGGAGGAAATTACTTGTCAGAGCAGATGTTAATGATGGGGGAGTCATAAGACACACTGAGGAAAATGAAATAGGACCATTTGATGAGAATTAAGACAAATAAGAAATTCCAAGCTTCCAACTGACAGCCAGGTACCTTTTCCTGTCCTGTGTGTGGTGTTGCAAAGCGTAATACAATGATAAAGGTGCTAAGCAGTGAGGTGAGTCAAAAAGGCAGTAGGAACAGGGGTGCTTGCTAACAAAACAAAGGCTTCTAGAGCACAAGTGGGACACTGCAACAGAAAAAAAAAAATCAGTCTTTTATCTCCCAAATTAATAAATTTTTGAAGATAAGCTGCAATGCAGAAGAATACACAGAAATTACTTCAGCACTTATCCATTCTCCTCAGCCTCAATCCTGCCAACTTACCTTAGAACTATCCTTGCCCTAGGCAAAGTTAAATGTTGGCATTTCCCCACCTTGCTCCCCCAGTTGTCCCAAAAGCAATGACAGGAGCTTTTGTTCAGGAACCAAATAAGACCACTGTGCTTGGTTACTCTGGTACCTCATTTATTCAGCATTTTGTAAAAGGTTTTGGAAGCCATCAGAGTGAGTAATGTGACTATACAACCCATTGCCTCTGTGTATATTATGCTCAGCACCAAGAAAGAAAACAACAGACTGGTGAAAACTGTGTTAGGATGGCTGCTAATGGTCAGTTTCTAACTCGGCCCTATTGGATGTAAACAGCTGCTGTACAGTTAAAAGCAAGCCATTGCTTTATCTCCTTCTTTGGATTATTTTAAAGCATTTAGGACATGGAATCATATATAACATGTCAGATTTGACTGGCAGTGACAGATACTGAAGCACAGTCCAGAGGGTTCTGCAATTAGCCCCTTAGTCACTGTCACCATCAAGCAACTGTGCTGTCTCTGATTTTATGCCTCCTGGTAACAAATACCAGCTATTTTAATTTTACAATATTACAATGCTCAAAAGAAACTAGAATACCATAGAAGCAAGAGATGGATGTATGCTACATAATTAACTCTGTCTAGGTTTTCATCCTTGTTTCACAGCTCCCACAAACAGCCAAGAAAAGAAAAAAAGAGAAAGAACACTGCACTTTCAAAAAAATGAGGAACCACAATTCTCTTTGTTTACTTCTTTCTTCCAGCATGAGCAGGATGTTCTGAAAGGTGTTGATAGAAGGGAGCTATGGCAAAACAAATCATTAATAATCAAAACCTCTGTTTACCTGCAAGCATTTTTTACTTACGTGATTCAAACTCCTTTACAGCAAACAGCCTCTCTGACTGCGTTCTTTCTGGGTGAGTTTTCTAACAAGAAGGGGAAAAAAAAATAAGAAAACATTTTAATGTTTCACTTTGGCAATTTTGTGTTCTCATTCAGAATTTGGGAACTCCTACCTGTAAGACAAACCCAAATCCACAGTCTATGGAATTTATAAAAATTGATGAACAGCAATGAGTTAAATTGACTGCCCTAAGTAAAGGTATAGAAATAGTCCCTCCACACCAAATTAGGCAGCCAAAGATGAACTCCTATCAAATTTATATACATAAACTGAAAAGTACTTTGAATATGTCATTTGCTTTGTTCTAGACACCCAGAAAGCTGCTAACAATAGCAAGCAGGCAGAAGACAGGCTTCGCTTTGAGGAAAGTGAATAAACTGACTGTTGACAGAGTTCAAAAGCAATGCTCCACTGCTGGCCTAAGGCCACTTCTTTGTAATCTTGGCCATTAAATATGGCTTTGCAGGTGGCCCAGCAGCTGAGGTTCAGGGACTATGGTTTGCATATTTAGCTTTTATATGACACATAGGGTTCTCCCCCCTCCCCGTAAGCGATGAAAGCAAAAATTTACTCCAACGACTTTTTGTCATTAAACAATTCAATTTTCTTCGTGGATCACCACCAAACCACACTTTAATTAAGTCACACACATGTACATTCACGTACACACATCTACACACACAGTGAGGATGTAGCTACCTTCCCAGCAGGCCACCAAAATCCTCCCTACATACAGTATCCAGGTTGCCCTTGTCACATAAGCAGACCTCAATCACAAAAATATGCTTCAAAGAGGATTTGTTTTTGCAGAGAGTTTAGAGCTCTACAAAAGTACACAGCACAATAACCTTGAAACTCATGAATCCCATCCTCTCCCTGTAAGCACTTGTGTTATCCTTAGAATCCATATGGCTAAGGAACACTGAAATGGAGGTTGACACTGCAATCTTCTTTCCTTACTCACAATATTCTTTTTCTCCAAAGACAAAGGGTCTGAGATTTCTCTCTCAAACTCTGGTTTTCACCAGCTAACTCATAATCATAATGGACACCTCTGGGGTGTTTTTGACTCACAAATGTACTGGAAGTTATATGCTACACAATACTATGCAACTGTAGCTGAAAAATACAACAGGCAACTGCTTAATAAAGGTATCAGTGCCAGCAGCCAGATAACTCTAGAAGCATTCCTTAGAATTTTAGCCCAAATACAATCTTATTCTTCTTTCTCTTCATCAGTGTGGCCTTGGTGCTTGCCCACACATGTAACCAAGAGCTCAAATCTACCAGAACAGAGGCTGAAACACCAATGTGAAACTATCATTAAACATTTCCAGGCTCTGCTCAGCAGTACCTTGCCCATAGGTTACAGCTGAAGACCTCACTGGCCTTTTGCTAGCTTACTGCAGAAGTCTCCAGCTGGACTATGTTGGGCCTGACCCTGCTGCTGTGGTCTGATGGACACTTCATTCTGCTGCTTGAGCTCTGTGTTACACCTGTCTGTACACAGGAAACTTATGTGTGTGTGTGTGTGCCCTTTGCAGGGACAGTTACTGCCGGTCAATTTTGATTTTCCTGCCTTCCCTGGCACCCAGAGCAGGCAAAAACCTCCCAAGCCTTCAGCTCACCTGTTTGGCAAGGATCCTTGCTGTTAGCCTCACAGTCTCTGAGGGATTCCAGTTCTGCCCAAAAGTGCACATGGAGGCACATTCCAGCTTGTGCATTGGCCAGTCTTCTTTCTGAAAACATAGGAAAAAATAATTAAAAAAAAATAAAAATAAGTGCCATGGAGATAAACTTATGAAAACGGGGATGAAGCAAGTCCTTCCAGATCCTAGAGGTCAAGTGAAATGTGTTTCCCTTACAAAATAAGGTGCCGCTTACTAAGTCTGAACAAAAGCTTGAGTCTTATTTAAGGGGTACAGCTGTCCTGCTTTATTTCAAACAAATTCACAAGGTTTGAGCTGAGGTCAGAAATCTTCATTTACTCAATGGAAAAAAAAAAAAATTAAATGACGAAGAAACAAACAGACAACATGATTTATAAATCACCAGTTCTTATTGTTCAGATCAAGCATATGAGGATGCTGTAGGTCTGAGCTTGATGACTTTATTGGGTTCATTTCCATTTAATATCTTGGCCCTTCATTATGAGGTGACCCTGGTGTAATTAGGAGTAATGTGTCTGAAGTCAATGGATTCACAATCACTAAGAATCCTTTGACTATAAGGTCAAACATTCTGATGGAATGATCTTTTTTTTTTTCCTTAAATGTTGAAGAATAAAAGTACAGCTAGACAATGAAAACACACTAATACAGACAAACATTTTACTTCAATCTACAGAATATTTTAGTTAAATACAGAATAGTTTGGGTAATGTATAGCATATTCCTAGCTCAACAGACATACAGGAGTGATGGCACCCAAGGCCAAAAATCTTCCAAAGAATAGCATAGAATCACATACTAACAATCTGCACTAGCACAGGCTGTCCTCAAACTGCATCAAATTTCATTTTATTAATTCATTTAAATGTGGAAATATTCAAGCAATGCACAGTTATTTATTGCTAAATCTCATCCCAAACACACATTTATAGCACTATGTTAGAACAGATCTGTAGTGTTCAGTCTGCACAGGAAGCATCAAATTTTGTTTTCATACCAGACTCAAACTGGTAGAAAACACTAGCAGAGAAAAAAAATCAAAACAAATCCCACAAATTTTGAAGTGAACACTTGAAAACCTTTTAGCACCTTCCAGAATGTTCTTAAATCCTATTACTGTGATTCACTCAGTACAGCAGACCCCGTGTTGGCCCACTGACCCCCAATTTTCAAAAATAATTAAAAAACCCCAACAATATGGCCCATCATAGTGACTGAGTGGCACAGAAGGAACAATTTCCCTCAGCTGCCTAACCACTGAAGGCAAGAGCCATTTGAAACACTAGGGAGACACACTGGAGGCCATCTGAAGCAGGACGGGTAGATATGCTACAGGTCTACTGGGAGATGGATTCCTTGTGGGAACTACAGCTGTAGGCTACATGCAACAACCCAAAGCAGTGAACAGTCAGGGGAATCAGGACCCTCAGTGCCTCCTGCCTCGGCTGGTCAGCTTAGTTACAGGGTTTGCAGATCAAAACAAAAGCTGAGATTACTGATTTCAGAGTTACTACACCAAAAATTCTTCCATTGAAAACAGTTATTTTAACTGTCCTGGGCACAGACAGCTTTAGGAGGTTATTTTATTAGGAAAAGAACACTTGCCCCAGCCTTTGGTAGGATTTGAAGCAGTGCAACACTGCAAGGGTATTCAACCCCTCACAATGTCAACTTTGCTGTCCTTGGTATCTCAGTACGGTACTTCCAAAAAAACCTACATACAGGCTGCTTGAAATAAGCTCCAGTGTAAATATTCTAAGAGGATGTGGCAATACAGACCAGAACCAAAATAGTATATTACACTGTAATCATGTCATGTGGAATTACACTCTCAACTCTCCTACAGCTGTCACACTACAAAATGCATCCCCAGAGAGACTAATTTCCTACGTGTGCCCCAAAACCTTTTCTGGAAAATTCCTGACAGCCTTTGCTTAGGAACCTACAGGCTAAAGGCTAAAAAGAGACAGAGGGAAATCTCATCTCTCACCTTTTCTTGCTTACCCAGGACACCCACTAACTTTAGCATGATTGTTCAAAAAGTGAAGGCACTGAACCTGAAGCTTTGCAAGACTCTCATCCATACACACCCATTAAATAAACAGGAGGAATTACATGATAAAACAAAAAATCAAAATGCAAAATCATGTGCCTGTCTCAAAGCAGTGTTTTTAAAAAAATCCATTTGTCCCTTTATTCTTTACAGATCGTTAATTAAAATCTTTCCCCAGGCAGAATCATACTGAGTTATATGAACTGGTAGGGAGGTTAAAGGGACAAGATACGGCTGAATTGTGCAAAATGAGATAAAAGCCTGAAACACCACAAAAAAAAAGAGTTCTGATGACTGAGTAATACCTGGGATAGAAACACCATGACAGCAGCTTTCCCTGCGATCACAGCAGGACTGTATTTTGCATTCTTTTCCACGTTTTCCTCCAAGTAGTTTGAATTATAACAAGTTGCATTGTTCTAGCTGAATACCTAATGCTACATTAATGATATTTTCTTCCTATTTTCATTACATCCACAATATTTTTCCCTTCATTTAGGAGTGACAACATTTTTGGAAGTTCTTTAAAGCTTATGCCTCTTACATCAAAGCATGGGAACACTCCTCTTCACCAAGTTCTTCAAAAAGATTCTGCCATCCAGGACTACAGGACTGATCCCCAGAACACTGTCTTATACCTCACCGTAGGAGAAAAACAAGTGACAAAATATAATATTAAAAATAATAAGACTCAAGTCCAAACAAATGTCCTCATACCTCCTTTTTCACATGGACTTTTTCAATACCACATAAAAACCCTGTTCTATTTCACTCAATTAAAAAGAAACACATATAAACAGCGCAGAGAAATGATGGGCAAGCCAGTGCAGGGGTTAAGCTCACTTCTTCAAAATCTTAAGGCCCAATTGTGACTAAATGGCATTCAACTCTTTAACTAGATTTCAGTGAGGTAACTTCTGATGTCTGATATTAATTGGCAAAGTTCTCTGACACAGCCTTTCAATAAGCAGTGAAGGTCGAGGTTTTATATATTTTCACAGCCATTCTTCCCTATGATCGTTTACCAAAAGCAGGGCTATAGAGGGTAATTGATTTTCATGGGTTAATGTTTAACATGTTCACAGGAGACATTTACCAAAGAAAAATACATTGGGGAAGTTTTTGTGTAGGGGGCCAGACATCCAACACAATCTTGCAGTGCCAAAATCCTTTTGTGCAGAATCATTGCAGTAAAAAAATTTGTATTTTTTTCTACAGCTCAACAAAAGAAGCAGGCAATTTCTACAAGGTCCCATTTAAAACACACCTGCTTAATGTTAATTACATGTGTGCAACTACATTTTGAGGCTTACTTTACTAGGTTAAAAATACCTGTTTCACTTATTCCAGCAATACCAACTAGAGCAGCCTTTAACAAGGCTAAGAAAAACCCATAAATGGTTTGGTCAAGATATATTTCAAATGCTGAAAATCACCACAGAAACATCTCCTTCTGCACACTGGTTAGCTGATCTCCACTCTTGTCTGGGATAAATGACAGCCATGTGTACTAACAGCAAAAGGAGTTCTAGTAGCTGGTTCAAGTTCACCAGTTCCAAAATTGCAACCACATAACCCTCTTAAAACATTTCTCTTCAGGGTTCTAAGGCAGCTAATTTCTAAGGAGAAAAAACAAGTGCAGGTCTCCTCCTGCTTGACTAAAATTATTATCATTTAAGAAGTCAAGACCTGAACAGCTGCAGTCGGGGGCTGAAAGCCACTATTACAATAACAGGCCTGTGCTCCAAGGAGGTGAAACTGGAGAGTGGGATGGTGTGAATCTGCTGGAAATCACAACCCCTTTTAAAAGGAGACCTGGATTAGCACTCAGGAAAAGGAAGACCAGGAAACCCAGACTAGATTCAACCCACAAAACATTAAAAGCAGTAAGGACAGGCAGTGAAGGCAACTTCCACTCTCACGTGCCCTGAATCCACACCTACGCAAACATCCAGCTTAATATAGGCCAAACATGTGGTTATCTATGCTAAAAGCACAATAAGAGACCAAAACAGCAACACTAAGGAGCTGTGCCAAAGCCTGTGTGTGTGCATGTGTGTGTGTATAGATCCACCTCTCATACATCCACCTTTCCCCACAATGAGCAAGAATTCACATGAACTGTGATATAGGACATCTTTAAGCAAGAAAAGAGCAAGATCAAAAGCTTTGGGTTTTTATCCCAGTATGCCCCAGTATGTTACGTGGAAAACATTTGTCTAACTGAATTGTATTGACTAACAAGGTACTAACAAACATATGAAATCAGACCACACCCTTGTTGGGTACATACAATTTTTAGCTGAACTGCACAAAAAATATGGATTTACAGGGCCAGTACAGCCCTGGCCTTTTACCACTGTCACATGATGTCTCACATGCATGGAGGCAAAAGGGATACAATTCCGTACATTCCAGTGTTACGAATTCAGTATCAAGGCACAGATATCCTCTTTGGCTTTGACAAAGAATTGCTGAACTGCTGAAAAGTGCCTTTGAACAAGGCAGGGACGAAGATGCATTGCAGACTGCTGTGTAGCACATACAGTTATTGGAGACCGGTTTCTAGAGAATATTGCACTTGAAGGTAATTTTGAAAGAATGTCAAAGAATTCAATCTCAGCAACATTCATAAATTTCACCAGACAGACTCAGAAGGGTCCAAAAGATGGAATAGAGCGTTATAACAACTAGGGAATTAAAAGCCATAGGTGTATCACCAGCAAGAGTTGCTAGTACTTGTGTATGTCAAACTATAGTTTAGACATCAACAAAATCTAAAAAAGGCCTTTACATCTAGAGCATCATACCATACACCAACAGATAGGAAAGATTCTAATTCACTAACTTATCAGACCAACAAGTTTTTGCTGAGCATCAGCTTTAGCAGACTTAAGAATATTCAGTTTGACCAGTTCAAGTCTTGACTCTAGGAACATGTCCCTCTAGAGAGAGAGAATTCTGATCATCAAAAAATAATTTTTTTTAAAAAAAAATCAATCTAAAAATGCAATACATGCACAAAACTTTACCAAGGGAAAAAAAAATAAAAATAAATCCCTCCTTGTTTGTTAATATGAAAGTATAATCTTTGTCAGGGCTGGAAGCCAGGACACTGAGGGACGGCCACTTGGTAATGAAAGCAAAGGACCATGAATAAGAAGTAAGTTCTACTTCCAACACGACATCTACTTGCTGCTTTTCCCAGCACAAATTACTGAGCTTTCCTACTTCAAAAAATCTTGCAGAGCTGTTTCATAAACTGTTGTACATTTTATATAGGAACAGAAGAAACTCACAGTCTCAGAAAAAAGCTGCTAAACAGCTGTTTTGTTCAAGGATTTCCTTCCCTCATCTAGTTAAAAGCTCGTAAGAAATAATGACATGAGGAAACATTTCTTAGAAACAAACATTTTTATAAATGAATCATAGGCTTTCTCTACACTGTCCTTAAAGCTCATCCAGATTCCTCTCAAGACCCTTAAGGATGCTCATACAGTAAGCGTTCACTTTGGAAATTTTAACTTCTGTTAAGCCTTTTGAGTTCTCCTGGTGCCTCAATACCAAAAGGCTATTTGATTCACCTACAACTCTCCTGAATTCTATGGGAAAGCAGGAAGTTGGGGAGGTAATAGAAGGAAAACTGTTGAGAGTTTCAACTGAGGGTTGAAACTTGTGCAACAGGAGAATAAGATACATCCTTGAAATCAAAGCAGCAGTCAGGTCCAAGTGCCTGGGAACTGAACAGCACAAACCACAACACCTCTGTCCAGGTAACAGGTCCAAGTGCCTGGGAACTGAACAGCACAAACCACAACACCTCTGTCCAGGTAATGACAACTGAGACTACTTGGCATGCACCCACACAGCCAACAGCACGTTAACATGTGGGAGAAGGTTTGGATTATTTATAGCTAACACACAGTTGCATGCCAGACCTTGGGTGACTCAAATCCTTCAAAAGCATTGTTCCACACTCTGTGCCCAGCACCACAGACCTTGCATAGCTCACGTTATTCAACTAGCAACCCACTTGAGTTTTTCCACACAGAAACTGGATAATTCTGCATCAAGATGAGGGCCCAAAAAGGCTAGATTCTAATTCTGTCTTTTTTATTTATTTTTTTATTTTTAAGGTGCTTACTCTAATTCAAATTAGAAGTAGAGTTAAAACTGCATGAAAATATTTTGGACATCTTTGTATTGCTCTGCTTTAGAATGTGCTTATATTCTACATCCAGGGGCCTTTAAAAAAACAAAATATACAAAAAGAATAAAAGTTGCCACAGTAAGTTAGGGAGAAAGCCTGGTAGGATTCAAATGGTTATGCCTACCATCAGCTGTGGAAGTCTCAATACTCCAAATATTTGCAAATATTATAAAAAGAAAAAAAAATCCTAAAAAAACCTCTCTTTCTCTCCCCTAGGATGGCTGTTTGGTGATTTCCCTTTTTTCCAGTAGACACAGGATCTCTTACCAGTTTAGTGAGGCTATTGCTAAATTATCTGGTTTGTCCTTAAAGGAAGAAGTAATGCAGACATAATTAGTGGGTTGACAGGCAGCTCTAATCAAAGCCTCAGTGGTACCAAGCCCTGAAGCTACTGATCTTTAAAGACTCATGCAGACCATGTCAAAAACCTGTAATTGTCCAATGTACATCTCCATGGTCAGCAACTGTGGGATGCTGGAACTGACTGGACTGCTATTAATCATAGCTACAGTTAGAACATATCAATACCACATAAACAAAAATTGGAGGTCTGCAACCCCCACCCTCCTTCCCCCCACCCTGACAAATTGCATGACTGTACCTGACATTCCACATTGCAGTAAAAGGCCTGCTTGCATCTTCCGCACTTGGACAATCCTTCTTTCCTTAAAAAGAAAACAGAAGTTATTCTGTTTTTATTTAGAAACCTGAATGAAATAAAACTGTATGCTGGATCACTTTTTGCACAGTACTTTGCACTTCACAATGAAAACTGTATTACATTTTCAAAAGCATGCTTTTCCAAGCAACTCTCATTATTCTAAAGCACTCTGTAAATTACTGGGTTTGGAAACATATTAGTCAATGCTATTTGACAGATAGCATCATTTTCTGTCACTATATGATGCATAATGTGCTAAACTTATTGTGTTGTGCAAACTTTAAAACTGCTCTGTGTACTTGTTCACCAATATTAACCTTTTGGTTCTTCTGTGACCATTCTGCTGCTTCTTTGGTTACAGAATGCATCACCTTGGTTGAGTAAGTGCCTCCAAAAGCCAAGAAAAAATATTGTGTTATATACTGTATGACCTCCTTTCACCTGAGAGCACCTTACTGACCCACCCTGTGTGCTCTGATATCTCTGCATTCTGAGCAGACCTAAGGCTCACACTCTCCTTTTTTATATTTGGATATTACCCCAACAGAGGGAACTGCCACAAGGAAGGTCCTTTTCTGCTTTAAAGTGCATGTGTTGCAACAGATCCCACCAAAAATAGAACATGTGTTACCCAACAAGTGACATTTTGATTATGACAGCAATAGGGATCTCTCTCAGCAGTACTGAATGCTTTTAAAATGTCTGCACACCCTCCCTGGTGTAAGTAGCAAAAAAAAAAAAAATTGTCTTAAACTGATGTAAGCTCACTGGAGTAAATCAAGGGATCAAGGGTGAGTGTCCTCATATGATGTGACAGTGTAGGACATTTTGGTGGTCACTGCCATTCGGAGCCCATAAAACCCAACAAGTCTGGCATCCTCTGATTGTATTTGCAAAGCACACAAGGTGCAACATGAGCAAGCCAAGCTAACATCATGACTCCTCTTGCTGACACTACAACCTCGTATTTAAAGTAACAACCGCTATCTCATGCAAATACAATATTACAGCCTCATTTTGCCCGTGTTACCACGAAAGTTTTCATGACAGCTTCGCCAAGTTTTCCTTCCACGGCTGGTGTTGAGCCCACAGCCCTTCTCCGAGGGCTCTCTGCAAGCTCAACCAGCAGAGTTCGGAATCTAGTACGTGCTAGTTCAGTGCTAATGCAACAGTCACAGACACAGAACACATGTCTGAGCACTGGCGGATCACCTTACATCACCGAGACATCGTTCCTCTTAGTGGCACTTCATCACCCTGGTGTGAAATAAGTTTCAGATTACCCCACTAACTGCTTTCCTGCTGCAGTCACTATGTTCCTTGATCGCTGTGCTCCTCCAGAGCTCCAAAGGAGAGGCTTGCATGGATAACAAGCAGCTGTTCCTGAAGATAACTAAAAGCTATTCCGTGAGATAACTATTATCCTTACAGTATTACTTCCAATCAGTGAAGTATGGAATTATTCCCTGGTCCTTTGGCAGACAAATCTGAATATGATAAACAAAACCAGACAGATTCTTTGGCAAGAGGAAATTTGCAGTTAGGTACAAAAAAACCCCTAAAACCAAACACAACACTTCAACGCAAACCTGAGAGGCTGGGAAAAGGTGTAAAGGAGGTGAGGAAAATCACCTCAACTGTACCCTTCAAATTGATGGGACTCGCTTCACCGGCTTCACTACGAAGCATATAAGATACGTATGTTACATAAATGCTAATCAAGTGAACAAGTCATAAGTAAGTAAGGTAACGAGAAAAGAAAAAGGATGAATGGATAAATATAGCACAGTTACAACAGTTGTTTTTCTCTACTGAGGCAGCTCTTAACATTTGCTCTGAGTTATAACCAGGTAAGCACTTAATTCTTCAGTAAGCCGTCAGAAGTCACGAAAGTACTACACCTTCTAAAAATATGGTGTGGTGTGACATGCCAGAGTGTCATATCCATGCTGAATTTGCTAACCCTAACACGTTTGTGGTTTTTTTTCCCCTGAAGCAGCTCATATTGAGAATATGAGATACTCACATTGAGATACTCAAACACTTGAGTATCTCCCCTTCACACAGGTGAGGAGGCAGCTGCAGAGGCCCTGGCAAACTCGAGCCCCCCGCATCCCTCCAGCACCAGGAATCCTGAAGCACGCAGGAGCAGGCAGCACTCCAGTCCCAATGCTCCCAGACATGCTACAAACAAGTTCTTGCATTGCCTGCGCTCCGACCCAGTAAAAGTAACTTGCAGACTAAGGTTTCAGACAGAGGTAATACACAGATCTTTTTCTGTGTATTTCATAACCGTGATATATACATTTAATTCATAGATTTTCTATCCGCTCTGTGGAAGGTGAAGTGTGAATTAGGCGATTGCAGACCCTTTCTCCCTTATCTAACCTTCATTAAAACCAGCGAGCACGAAGTTACCACAAAACTAGACGGATCAATGAAACTTCCTGCGAGAGGATGGTTACGCACGTGTCTACGTGACCGCCAGAACACGGGCAGAGCAGAACGTTTTTTGTTGCTGGCTTTTGGTTTGGTTTGTTTTCCTTTTCCTTTCTCTTTCCTGAGCTGCTGAGCACGGAGCACCAGCTCTGAGTTTACACTTCCACGCTGCCGCAGCACCACGAGCCGAGGAGGGGGAAAGTTCTGCCGCCGCCCCGCAGAAGCCGCGGCCTCCGGGCGCCGCCCGGGCCCTACCTGGCGAAGCAGCCGTCGCAGTGGCCGCCGCGCTCGCTGACGGTCAGCACGGCGACATAGGCCGGGCAGCTGAACAGCAGCTCCCCCACGGCGAAGCGCCGCCGCGCCCGCAGCCCCCGGCCCTTGCCGGCGCTGGCGAACCTCTCCAGGCCGCCCAGCTGCTGCGCCGCCTCCGAGCGCATCCCGGCCGCGGGCAGGGGTGCCGGG